TGGAGCATTCGAAGTACCTCAAACTTCTCTGAGAGAAGTTATTTTGAGATGATAAAGATGTCTAAGAAAACTGGAGAGCCTGTCTTTAGATGACTGCTTTTTATATTTCATAACAGTGAAAGAATAAATTGATTTCAGTTTCTTTTTACTGTCCTGAAGAGACTGTAGTTACCACCATCCATGTGGTATCACTGACCAGAACTAAGCACATGATTGATACTCCTATTTGTTGCTGGATACTAGTATGGGAGTGGATATGAATGGTGTATAACTAAATACATGTTTCTAATTAGAAGTACCTTGGCAGGAAATGGTCTTAATAAAAATAGAGATGAAAAAGCAAATTCAGGATATTTGTAGAGCTCTGTGCTGAAGACCATGTACTTGGGAATCGGAGTTCGCTGGGGTGAGGAAGAGGAAGAGAAGAAAAGGGGGAGGTTATTCTGCAGAATTGAAAACCAAATAATAAACCCTGTGGGATTAAGACCATGAGCTTCAGCCTTGTTTTTTAAGGAAAAATCTACAGTGGTTCCGAGTACTGGAGTTCTTGCAGCTCGGTGCAAATTTCAGTTTCCTCTAATTACAGAGAAAAGGGGGGAAAATGCATATTTTTTAATGGAAATGGGAAACTGCTGTTAGCTATGTCTCTCTGAAGGTACTTTTGTGGATGCAGGGCACTTACGTGGCTGGTTTTTGCCTCTTGCTCTCCCCCTCCTATTCCAAGTAAAGCACTGCTGTAGCATTCCTACATCTGATCTCCTTGTCTCATGAGGATTAATCCTGTTGGCCAGGAAACAGCATTACCAGATCACGCATTTCTTAAATTTAATGTCACGTTAGTATATTTACTTTAAAATTTTAAGCCCTAAATAACTGGTATTTAAATAGAGCGTTGGCCTCTTTCGTGAGGATGTCTGCAGTTTCCTGACGTAAAATCCCTTGCCAGCAAGCCATGGAGCAAGCAGGCAGTCAGAAAAGAAGCGTTCTTAACAGAAATCTTGTTTAGTACTAGTGCTTCAAGGCAATAGCCTGAAAACAAATGAGGCTCTTCAGTGAGTGGCTTACGTCCTCAAAACCAAAAATGTTAGGACCCACCTACTCTGATGCAGGAATTTGCTGCAGTGGGACCCCTTTTTTTCCCCCCAACATTGCATTCCAAGTGTTTTATGGAAAGCAAGAAGAGAGAATACCGTAGCCAACAGAAAACCCAAAAGGTTTTTCAGTTTGAACCGTTATTTGAAACAAAACCAAATGTGTGAAATGGACTCTTCTCCTGATGACTTCTCAGACAAAGGCAGCATTGACACACACCGAAATGCCAGGAGCAGAATTCATGCCGTCTGAGTGCACTCTAAAGCTAGATCCATAATCGCTTGTTCTGCCTGGCAGTTTTTACAAGCAGCCATTTGTTAGAAAAATAGACTTCATTAGTGATTTTTCAGCTCAGAGTGCCCTTCCACAGTATTCGTCTGATAGAACGTGCAGAAGCTGAGCTTCTCTCTCCTCGCTGTAGCACTTTGCATTTCACAGGTGGTGACTTGACTGAACAATGAAAACATCTAATTTTCACTTCTTGTTTGGTTGGTTTCACTTGCCATAATTTATTTGGGTTTTTTCCCCTGTAGGTTTGCATCCAGTGGTGTTGCAACACAATTTATTTCCTTTTCAGTTAAAAAAAAAAAAATATATTTATATACATATATATATAAAAACCTTAATTTTTTACCCAGATTTATCTTTCCCAGAATAGGCGTGTAAGTTAAAAGTGCTGTCTTATGTGAGCGCCTAAACATTAGATGAGGTAAATTTGGGCCTGTGGGCCTAAACCACGGGAAAGGTGTTCCTCAGTATTGCTGGCGTTGGAATGCTGTATGGAGCCAGGCTCTCCATAGAGACCTAGTGTCCTTCCACCTTCACTAAGCTGATTTGAAGAACAGTGCTATGACACTTATCTGTAGTGATTATTTCTGAATAGAGTAGATGTTGGAGACCAGTCTGCTGTACGGCTGTGGGGCACTTTCTCCTCCGTGTTATATTCAGCTAGGATGTGCTCTCGGAGAAAATTCATGAGGTTACTTGGGAGCAGCACCAGGAATTTCAGTTGCAGTACTTAAGATATAAAGTTCTAAAAGATACGTATTTCTGTTCACGGATCTGGCTTAAGATAGTGACAGAACTGCCAAATTTTAGATACAGAATGGCACTTTTAAAATTTCTGATGGATTTATTAAAAATACATCTTTTGAGGGAGTAAGGGATACTACTGAGGGCTTTCTGTGCCCTAGCTTGTGTTACTTTATCTTAAATGGGCAAAAACGGGGTGGAGGAATTCTGCACTACGGACACAAGTAAGTAACCTCAGTTTTGTGATTGTGATCCCCCCTCCCCTGGTATCAGGTCTTTCCTTTGCCTGGTGTCAGGTCTTTTCTGTTGCACAGAATAAGCTGCTCAACTGAGATTAGGCCTTTTGGTTTTTTTGTTTTGTAGAGAGGGAAAAAAAAACCTGCACAAACATTTTAGTTCTCTGTGACACGTTAAACTAGAGGAATTGCATTATCCTGGCTGGTTGGTAGCAGCAAGCTGTTTTGCCACCAAATTTTATTTAGGTTGAACAGTCTCAGCAGCAAGACATGAAAGCTCAGTGACTTTATTTTACGCTGGAACATTTTGTATGTTCTTGTCTGATGCAGAAGAGAAATATTATAGGGACCTGTACTTACATAGCTCTTCTGAAAGTCTCAGAATGGTTTTTAAGTGCTAAATTAAGTATGAGGCAGGCAATTACATAATATCCACATTTTACAAATGGGGATAATCATAGTTTAGGAAGGTTAGCTGCACAAGACCACGTTAGCATCATTAACAAAAGTAGAAATAATGAGTCATAGCCCTCAGTTCCTTGCACTTACCTTCTGTATTATGGGTTTCAGGCACTTCAGCCTGTGTTTGACTGTAAGAGCAGAGAGGTTATAAAGTACACACTGGTTAAATAATTTCATTAACCCTGTTACCTCTGCTAGATTTCTCACCGTATTTGCAATCTGTGCTCATATGTCGCTGCATTGATTGGCATTTTAAATTGAGTTGTATTGGGCCAAATTTCTTTTAAATCTGATTATAAAACTGTGGAACACAAAGTTAATATGATTAGGTAATGATATTCAGCATCAAATTGTTCTTAATAAAAGGTGTTTGAATTTGAACTTCTACATTCGTTCAACCAATTTTAAGATCTTGGTCTTTATATATAGGCAAGCTTTTATCATAGACTTGTAGGCGAGATACTTAAGAATATCGAATCGGCTCAGAATGAACTATGCCAACATGTTGGGTCATGCTTTTGACTTAGCTCCAGTCAACAGCATACTTTGCAGAATTGCTTTGTGTACCGCTTTACAGTCTGGGTCTTTGGTCAGCATTGCCCAACTGCTTGGTCTTTCCATTGGCACTTCAAGCTATTTAAGGGAGCATCTGATTTTGAAATTGGAAAAGAACTGTCTGTGTGAAAATCACTTCATGTCCTTTTCTTTTTAAGGAAGTTGCTATGCAGCACTACTAGTAAATAAATCAGTTTTGTCTTACCTGCGTGGTCTCTCAGAAGCGCTGTGTAGAAGTTAAGATACAGTACAAAACCTTTCTGTTTACCTTTTCTTGTTGTTACTTGATTATTCCCAATATTTCAGTGATAACAGTAATAGAGCACTTCATATGCAAAACCCTTGGGGTAGAGATTTGCAAACTTCTGGTGTTTGTTGCCAAGTTTATTTTTTACAAAGCATTCTCACTCATTGCTGGTAGTACCAGCCCACATCTGAGTCTGTGCCAGTCCTTTTCCATTCTGTGCTGTAGGGCAACTTTCTAACATTATCAGACTTAAACTTTTCATTTGGTTTATTGTAAAGATTTACCTTTCGTATGGCTTCTTGGTGTACCACTTGAAGGCACTTGCTTTTTCTAATATTAACGCTTTGTCAGATAGACTTTCATGAAAGGTTAGGGTTATGATGCATTATTGATCATATTTATTTAAAACAGACAGTGTGACCTGAAACACTTGCAGAGTTTAGTCAAGTTGGCCAAGAACTTCCTTGTTGGGAGAGGGGTTATATTACTGCCTGTAGGGAGCTTATTGACTCTGACGTTTTCTTAGTTTGTACTCTTCACCTTGTTACCAGATTCATCTGAAGTGTTATGTAGTCTGATAGCATAACATAAAGGAATGTTATGCTAATAACATGATAGCGTATGATAGCATTACATATTAGGAATGATTAGTGCATCTACTGCACTTGTATATAGGTATATACAATTAAAAAAAGGTTTAGAGAATGTAATTTTATGACAGGGTCATTTGTGGTGGAGGCTGGGTTGTGCCGTGGTGGGGGGACAGTATGCAGGCTGGGAGCTTGGAAAGTCAGTCCCCTGTGTCTGCAAGGTTGGAGAGGTGTTTTTGGCACAGACATACAGACCTCTGGGGAACAAGTTTAACAAATACAGTGTGGAAAAAGATTCTTGGGGCTTCTCAAGTGGGAGATGCACAGTGGATAGGAGACCTCCCAAGACTATCACTATTTCCAGAGTAATGCTGTGACTAAAGAGGACTTAATTTCTTTGAGGTTACCTCAACTTGCATCTGAAACATGATTATTCTCCTGTCATGCTAGATATTCCTCAAATATGGAATTTTTTATGTAATGCAACTTGAAACCAGTTAATAGTAATGATCAGTTGCAATATTTGTTGATGCACTTTTTGGCCTTTTTGTACACCTTTTATGCTTGCCTCCGACAAATTACTTGCATGCAGTGTTTTCTTTGTTTCTGGTTTGGTGCTTAAGCCCTTAGTGTGAGACCTAGCTAGACTGTAAAACTCTTCTTCAGCAGCTTGCTTATGCTTGTGGCATTAACCTTTCTGCAGGGGGTTGTGCTGTTTATTTACAAAATTCCATTTTCCAGTTACAAATAGAATATTATTAAGAGAGTCTTCTTTTTACCAATTAGGTCAAAGTCCTAAAATTTTAAGACCTAAACCACATGGTTTAGAGCGAACTGATTCACAAACCATAGGTGACTTTACTACAAGAAGAAAGGGTATGTACTTTAGCATTGTACGTATATGGAGTTTTATAAAAATAAGTAAAACAAAAATTAAGAAAACTGTTACTCTAGAATAATTTTAACTCTTGTATAGTCTTTTTACTTCTATTATAATCTAAGATCATGGATGTGTTTTCCTTGCCAAGCAAAGAGTTTCCTATATAAGCAATTAAAGTCTTTCTGGCTTGAACAGCACATGGGAACATTTCCTTGACATTGATATGAGTGTTCTGATCTCTTTAAGTTTTAGCTGTTCATATTTTGGATTTATTTTTGTCTGTTTTTTAGAAGCAAGTATATATGGCTTGCCTGTAAGTTGCTTGAAATAACTTTTGCTAGGCAATAACTTGAAATCAGAGTTTACGTGAGTCTCCTGCTGTTGGCTAAACACTGAAATAAAGCAAAATACTGATCCTCTGACCATTTACTAGTACAGCAATTTATTTATGCATCTTAATGAGCATTGTAGTTAGTCTGATGGGCTTTATTGAAGGTGCTGAGTTGGTATAGTCACAAGAAGTAGAGGAGATTACAAATAGTGTTAAAAATT